TTTCCCTAACTTCATCTTTTAAAACGATTTTTTTTTTGGGGGGGTATTTTAGCTTATAGATGGCACAGTTGAATGAATCATCACTTCCTAATTTTTACAACACTACAAAAATATTAAAAAATACAAAATTGCTTGATGGAAGGTTTAGTCAGCTATAATACAAAAGGTGAACAAGTTTAAAAAATCAAAACAAAGAACAAAACAGTGAAGGGTAAATACAGTTGAGAATTTATCTAAATCTGAAAGATGAAAATTTGTTATCATAATAGAGAAGATTCTAGTGAGGGTTGAGCCTACAATAAAGAAATGAGCCGTGTCATGACAAAACCAACATAGTGCGTTTGCGACCAGCATGGATCCAGACCAGCCTGCGCTTCCGCGCAGTCTGATCAGGATCCATGCTGTTCGCTTACAAACAATAACAAGTAGAGAAACTGATAGCGAACAGCATGGATCCTTATCAGACTGCGCGGATGCGCAGTCTGGTCTTGATCCATGCTGGTCGCAAACGCACTATGTTGGTTTTGTCATGACGCGCCTCAAATTAGCACAAGTGATTTGGAAGTGAGCAGAACTAAACAACTTGATCATCAGGTGGACCCCTGGAAATTGGTTAACAGATTACTTCATGCTTAAACTTAATTATGAATGCAAATCTCAGTAAATCTTAGATTGGCATAGTTAAAGTCAAAACTTTGTCACATTAAACAATGTTTTTATAAATGTTTGGACAATAACTGATTCTATAAAAACGTCTTAAAGATAAATAACTTTTTTTCTTTGCTATAGAATTAATCTAAGATTTGCTGTTGTTGTGGTTAAGAACTATTAACTTCATTACAATAAAACAAAAGTAATAAAATATTTACATTTTTGTAAGCCGATGTCAGGTGGGTGCCAGGGAAGCCAAAGTTGAGATTGTCATTTTTGTACAGCAGTTTTTATACATTTTGTAACACCATCCTCACAACAATTTCTTTCTTATAACAAACTTATTCAGATTCATGACTGAACTGTTACCACTTTTTAGAACTAGCTACGATAATGAAACATTAAAACTTTTGACATGAAAAACAATGGATATATCTAAGTTAACGTTTTAACCTCTAATACGTAAATACAGGCTTGTGACAATTGGACAAGTTATTGTAAAGTATACATTCATGAAGATAAGTCTCATATTGAGGTTCAATGATATTTATGAAAATCTCATGAATGTAGTCAAAAAATGTTTATGAATTATTCCATGAAAAAAATGACACTTATTTTCACTTGGGTATTAAGAGCTAACCGTGAGCTTTTTAGGACATACTATACATAATCATAATTTGCAGTGATATAAATCTGAAAGTGTGTAAATCTTTAAAATGGTTTATATAGTATATTAACTCAATCTGTAGGTTGTTATACCTAAACCATTATTTCTAAATTCTATTGCTGTAACTTACATGTATACATTAATTTTTTTAAAGAGCTATTCTGTTATGTACTACTGGTTAAAGTACCAACTTAATGTTAATGGTATAAGCAAGCTATGATGGACAAATTATCAAAAGGCATATTATTTGGAAGAATATTGCCACTCTTTTGGGCCGGGCGCTAAATAATTTAATATTTTTGTGCTTTTAAACAAAATTAATAAAGCTATTAGTAAGATCTGCAGACATAATTCTTCTCCCTTATGCTGCATGGTTAGGTCCTCATTAGCAAGGCATCTATCTACAGGTACATCTAATCAAGTTGCTACAAAAGGAAACTATCACCCTACCATACAAAAATGCTAAAGCTACATTTTGTATTTTGTCAAGTTTGCTTGAAAAACTTTAATATTATGTACAATTTTGTAAAATAGCAAAAGTTATGTTTCTGTTTATCTATAAATGTAGATTAATTGCCTATTTAAGTCATGCCAGCTCTGTCAAGGTCATATGGTGACTTTAATTTCCGGCTTTACTGGTGGAGGTACATGTAGACCTAAGGTGCCCCCCTTCATTCATTAATTCAGGTAGTAGCAGGCAGCAAAGTAGAACCACAAACCTTCTGTAAGCTATCTGGAAGCTACGCTTCCTCAAATGATAAGATCCAAAGATCCTAACAAGATTCAAACCTTAATCCACCATCATTATAACAAAGATTTATAAACAGTGAACCTGCGGAAGAAAAATGAAGGTGATCAGCATATCGAAATGTTCACCATTTACAAGATAAGGTCAACATTGACTGAAAAGCCTTAGTTGATAATGCTTGCCTCCTGTTGAACATTCTGCACTATCAAAATATAGTGGGATGTGATACTAATATAAAGTTATGTTTTTAAAGAATGACAATTTAAGGGAGCACACAGAGTGGAAAATAAAACCATTTTTGTTATACACATACATGTAATTATGCCTATGTTGTTAGTTTGGTAATTCATTTTTTTACATTTTCAAGCAAACTTTAAGAGACAATACTGCACAGTTACAGGGTATACATCTTATATAAAATAAAAGTAAAATTACATTATTCAACATAAGTCACGTAGACAGGTGCGCCCGGCCCATAGGCCCCCGGGGCGGTCTGTGCCTGATATTGGGCTGTATGTGATGGGTTAGGGGTTTTCTGTTCTACTTGAGATGGTTCTTTCATCTGAGGGAATAACAAGTTGGTTAATAAAATTAAACATAAAAATAAAAAGAAAGAGAAATAAATAAATAAATATATATTTAGTCCACAATATTGACAGAAAACAAAATATATGTAAACAATACTACAGTTACATTTACATAAACAATGAGACAGCAGACAATAATCTCTATATTTGGATTGAAAAGTGGCTTTATCAAATTTATAATACACCAGCATTTGGTTTCAACTCAATTACTGATATATTGCTGAATTGGCATATTTATTTTTACTGAACATCATGTAAGGATGTACATGTATATTGAATAAACAGTTGTTGTTTTTTTCTAATATGCAGGGATAATCAGTGATATCACAAAACATTGATTTGGTACAGCAATTGAAAGCTTATTGAGTTGAAACCAAGTGGTTATAGATTCAAAACGTAAATTATTTTATTAAGAAATTCTATCTCAGTGAAGAGATCACTCAGGACAGGAAATAGTTGATATATCAGCATCATTTCTCTTGCTATAGCTTTGTTCTCTCTTTGTTGAGGTTTTTAATAATGTAAATCAAGCACATTACACAAATTTAGATCCCTGCTTAAATTGTTTATCATCAAAATTAAAAACTCAGTAGCTAACATACAAACTACATAAACATGGTCAGATAACAGCAAATTTAAAATCTAGTCAGTATACTTCAATATTTTGGTAATGAGCTGGTTAGATTGTGTCACATTTTAAGTCAGACTATAATACTTTTAATAACAAAGTTCTGGTCAGACTAAACCAATATGCTGGTCAGACCTAACTATTTGCAAACTGGCCTGGGTTATAATGTATTATTAGTATTCAGATGGTACAGGACTAGAGACACATGTAATATGTAAACATTTAAGCCAAAATCTTTCACATGAAAACTTTCAAAACAAATTTCATTTCAAAGTTTTCCATCACTCTGGCTCATCAAGCCTAATTTCACACTTTATATTTAATAACCTGATAATTTTACAACCTTAACTGTTACTATCTTCAAAATATCTCAAATTTCTAAATTTTCAATATTAATTTTATTACTTATTTTGAAATAACACATAATAATCATTGAAGCTAAAAATATGAAAAATAGCACATTTAAGTTATGGTACATAATCATATTGACTAGAAAATATTTATGTATATATGACTGTGTAGAATTGCAAAAAAAGAAAAACTGAAAAAAATCTTCATACAAAATCTCCACTTTAAATCAATATTCATAACTATATAAAAATTAATATTTTATGACGTGAGGATTGCTCAGCAACTTTTTGACAGCCTTATTACACATATCATTGAAACCCAAACTTTGATTACCTATACTTATGATATATATACTAAGAATAAGTTCACAAACTCAAAGTATGTCTAAGTATAAAAAAAAAAAATTAATACTGATATGCCCTCATATTATATTTAAAGGCAAATTATGCTGCAGAAACAAAATAAATATTTCAATTTTTAGAATGTTGCTTGACATCTCATAGTGCTAAATGTAAAATTATTTGACATTGTCATAGAAGTAGCAAAACAAAGTAGTATTTTTACTTAAATACAAAACAATTAATCACTATAACAACATGACTTGTATATATGAGTGACTTTTGGGAGACAGTAACAGGGCATCAAAAATAAACAGCTTTTAGAAATAAAAATTAAAGCATTTCTGGGGCATAATTGGCCTTTAAATGAAAGACATTTATGTTGAATCACATTTTGGAAATCATGTTAGAGATTTGAAAGTTTTAATATTTTCAAATTCTGCTAACTGAAATAAATTTTATTAATTTTGAAAGTCTTTATTTTAAATTTATTCACTTTTCTTTCTGTATATTGCATTTTCTGTTATCAAATTAGGGCTGAATGGGGATGACATAGGCATCTGAAAATGAAATATGAATTAATAATGTGCAAATATCATTCATATTGTTAACTAATACAGTAATTGAATGCATGCATTTTTTCTTTGGATTATCATGCTTAAACACTAAAAGCAATAACGAGCTAAAATTTGCACAAAATAGATGTTATCCGGAACTCTGCAAATGTGGGCTTTTCCCAGCTAATCCCCCAGTACAAACAAACATTTACCGTAATAGCTTCATGGTGCACTTCCCGTCATAATAGATTAACTAAATTTTCTAAGCTGTAACTGAACTGTAAAAGTTTGTTTGTACCACCAAATTAGCAAGGAAAAACCTAAAATTAAAATTTTCATAATTTCGGATTAAGTTTATTAATTGCCGACAAGCATTTTTCAGCACTTATATCTAAAAGGGAATAGTTCAGTATAAAAGCCAATCTTTGATCCTACATGACTTCAGGTACATGTATGAAACTGCCACACAAAAGTTCTTGCCATGTTTTCTCAAGACACATTAAATGTGTTAAAAATATTGATTTAGTTGACCTTATGACATATCTACATTGTATTCACTCTGAATGGTCCAATATCTTAGTTCCTGCTTTGAAACAACAAGAAGACCAGATTCTACATAAATTGGGCAAACACATACTGTAGGCTTTCATCTTATTTGAACTCATAACTTTACACTGAATTTCACAATATCCCTACACACAACATAAGTTTCATATAACTGTATGAGAAAAATGACGGTCTCAATATAAATGCACAAATTTGGTAAACTACATTAAGGTGTTGATGTGACCTATTGACTACTACTACTAGATTACTGCCTCACAAATAATAATGATTTTACAGTATATCAGTCCTTATAAACATTGATATAATATCACAGATCTATGATAATTTTGTTTGCATTCAGCATATCTCTTTCTCATAATAATATATCAATTATAAAGATAACCATATTAGGCATATATAACAAAAGAGCCTTTTGATATTATCACCTTCAAAATAAATATCTGATATGAACAAGGACAAGCCTTATAATTTAACTGACAGTGCTGATGCTAATATAAGCCAATGTCCGAAAATTTTAAAAGCAGATACTAGAGGTTGGTCCAGAAAAAATTTTGCTTTTCAAATATTTTGAAATAATTTAAGCCAATAAGAATATCAAGAGTTGAAAACTAAAATCTCCATCTTTAAATTTTAAAGCGGCACACCTCCAATACAAATGATACAAATTTCGATAAAATTATTTATTAAGGTTTAAAAAGGAACTCAACTGAGGTTTTTCACAAGACGGGCAATGGAAAAAAAGTTTTCTTTCATATGCGTATGGTCTCAGCCAATAACTTGTGTGCAAATTCTCAGACTATTCCCTTAGACTGAATTTTCAAAACTGTCATTTTTATTGTGCAAAATTACCCAAAAATGAACAGCCTTGCAATGCTTTTAACTCAAATGGTGATATGAAATGTACAAACTATTGATTTTCAGGTTCATTTGCAGATTTTGACATTTTAAGAGCATCACTTGATCTATGTTAAAGTTGCAAAATTTTATGTTTTTAGGCTTTTTGACCTCAGTGGAGCTCCCATAAATAGTTAATATATTTCTGAGTCACGCAAAAACTTAATTTAAACTAAGAAAATGCACTAATAGAAAAAGATAAATCAAATATCCAATATAAGCCATGGTGATGAAAATAGTAGATTCTGCCAAATTTTGCATAAACAATTTAGCTTGTTAACTTCTAATACTATTTTTGAAGTTTGATTTGTCTAAACTAATATTTCACTCATGTAGATATGCCACTTTAAAACTATGTTCTTAAATGCTCATCAACACAGATATTGTAAATTATCATAATATTCTAACACGACCCGAATTTTTCCCTATTGAACATAGAAGAACTGAAACTGTTGACGGTCTATATTTAAACATGTGATGTAATCATTATACATGTGACATAACCACTAAAAATGTGACGCACTGAAAATAAGTAAGGAAACAAATCAGTCTTTGTTATATGTGATAAAACCAAAAATGACCATCTTAAATTCAAAATGAAATGTATCAGGAATATTTTAATGACAACCAGTGTGCTGCTGAAAATATAATATATGGTAATCACTAACATAGGACATGACAGCTTGAAAAACATCATCCGACATGTCCATTGGGGTGAGGTATTACTCTACTGTTGATAGTTACAAAAAAAAAGCTTTCAGTCAGAAAAAAGGGCCAATAAATACCTGTAGCTTGATGTCATCTGGCGCAACTTCCCCACCTTTACCCCATGGATCTACAACAAAACCTGGTACATATTTAGCCACCAAGCTTCTGTGTTTGACAAGAGCAGGTCCCCATTCTACGGTTGGTGTAGTGGCCTGACGAAGTCTCTGTAAAATGATTCAAAGTTTCAAGATATTTGACTGAATATAGGAAGTATATTTGATCTGCACATTACTTATGAGTGATGAAAGTGGTCTTGACTTATTTACAACAAAGTCCTCCTCCTTAAAACTGTACTCACCAAATTTTTAATGAGTTAAAGAAATTGAGAGTTTGTACTGTTCATGCAAATTAGGATACCTTTATTAGAGTTGACAGTATGCTTAAGATGTATTTTAAATTAATAAATACCAATGCCAGAGTTGTATGTATAAGTCTTCTTAAAATCAATGACCAATGAAAATTGATTCATATGTTAAGAAAAAATTTCAAATATACTTTTAAACCAATAAAGTCTTCTAAAGAAATTCTAAACTCACAAACAGTAATAATTGGATATTAAAATACATGCCTGAAATGTATTTCTTGCCCTTCTTCAAAAGTCAAGCAAAAAGAAATAAACAACAAATTAAGTTTGTGAAATAGACAGTTATTTATTCATTGTTTCCGGAGTGTTTCTAAAACAAACAATAATTTATGTTAAGTATTAAAATTGTACTTACATCCGTAAAGCTTCCCTCACCAGAACATAAAGCAAGGAGTGCCCCACCGATGATGGCCACAATGACAGTCAAGGTCATAAGCCAACCAAGGGCATCTGACCATTCTGGATATTCATCACCCTCCATATCAGTGTACTTAACCCAGGAAAAAATCATTGTTGCCTAGAATATAAAACAAACTAGGTGAATATTTTTTTTTAAATTCAAGATTCTTGTTTCCTTGTTTTCATCAATCCATATTAGGCCAATAATGGTACATCACAATTAACTTGCACATGTTCTTTTTAATCTTGTACATGCCTTTATTTCCACAAGTTATTTCTTAATTCTGATTAGTAGTCACAAGTTTGAAAAGAAATTGCATACAAATTTTATTGAGTACATGTACGTCTCGTATCAAAATGGCCCTGCATGCAAACATGGATTTTGCTTGGGGTTTTCTCCCATACATTAAGACTTTATGAATACCATGTGATAAAATTGAAAAATTACCGCGTCACGACAAAACCAACATAATGTGTTTGCGACCAGCATGGATCCAGACCAGCATGCGCATCCGTGCAGTCTGATCAGGATCCATGCTGTTCACTTACAGACCCTATAACAAGTAAAGAAACTGATAACTAACAGCATGGATCCTGATCAGATTGCGCGGATGCGCAGGCTGGTCTGGATCCATGCTGGTCGCAAACCCATTATGTTGGTTTAGTCATGACATGGCTCAAATGATCTCAGATATGTTGAGTTACTTAAACCTGGCAGTATACATGTAACCTGAATATAACAACAATTCCAAAATAAAACATTTGTTAATGTCATTTATTCACCTCAAAATCATTGATTGGCTTTGAACATGAAACCACTTTATCAATCTAAAGCTGCAGGCAGATTCACACTATAGAATTGTTAATATATTTAAGTTTCATGTCAACAGTTAAAACAAATTTAACAAGACATTTATTCTATGTCTGTGATATAAAATAACTTACCAATACGATCACAGGGGAGATAACACACCAGTTGAGAGCCCACCAGTACTTGCATGCAATAAAGGGGCAGAATCCACATACCTTGTACCCAATCATTGTTTCAATATCAACAAGGAATCTACGAATACCTAAACAACATTTCACAAAATTATAAAACATTTATAATCTTCAAAGAAATATAGATATAAGAGGCAAGGCTTATTTTTTCATACTATAAAACCCATCAACGTTTTCATACATACATAATGTATCGTGCAACAATACTGAACCTGTAATAATTCACTATTAATATACATGATAATATAAATATAAATGTAACAAATCATGTCAAGGGCTTGTCAATGATATAACAATCACTGAATATATTACGGTTACTTCTTATACATGTACATGAAGGATAATTTGCATATTCACAATCATAGTTATATCGTACAATAAATATTTTCATAATGTGTAACTCATTTTGAAGTTCAGAATATTTTTCTACTTTTTTTCTATAATCTTTAGCTTATACTTCAAAGGTTAAATGAAAAAATGATTATCCTTAAAGACTTGCAAAAATGTGGGGGAAAAAATGCAAAGAGACGACAGACGGAATGCAAATATACAACAGATTTTATGTGTTTGCTCTTTTGCCTCGAAAATCCGAAAAAGCTGAAACACAAAGTATAATGGTCCCTTCATGTTTTTTGCATTTTGAGGCCAAGAAGTGAAAATACGACATGGCGTTAATCAGCCAACATACTTTGTTTCAAAACATATCCATGACTGAGGCTGCCAACAATTGCAAAAGCAAATGAATTGAGTACAAGCGTTTTTCTGCATCTTTTATTTGTTTCCAAGAAAAAAATCAATCAAGTATCTTTTATTTGTTCACCAGAAAACAATCAAATCAAGCATCTTTTAAGCAGCTAAAAAAATTCCAATATGATCTTGTTTGATAACTTCTTGGTTATGCAAATTTTTGGTTTTAAAAACATTATTAATGTTGCCACATCAATGTTTAGAAAGGTTGCATTGGATGAATTGAAATAAAGTTTAAACTTACCTCATTCTGTGCCATAAATACATGTAAATGTAAATGAGCCGCGACACAACAAAACCAACATAATATGTTTGCGACCAGCATGGATTCAGACCAGCCTGTACATAAGCACAGTCTGATCAGGATCCATGCTGTCTGCTTACAGACCCTATAACAAGTAAAGAAACTGATAGCGACCAGCGACCAGCATGGATCCTGATCAGACTGTCCGGATGCGCAGGCCGGTCTGGATCCATGCTGGTCGCAAACCCATTATGTTGGTGTTGTCGTGACACAGCTCAAATAATAAAAAGCAAGCATTAGGTTCACATTAACTCACCATAAACATAGCAAAGAGAGATACATTCGCATATGGCAATAAACATGATGTTCCAACCTCCTGAATATGTGTCCATCACCTCTAACATGTATATACCTCCCTATAAACAACAAGTGTATCATAGTTTTTCACTTTCTATTGCTTGTAAGCAACTTTCTTGCAAGTAAAGCAAGTGATACATGATTCCTAAGCAAGAAATCCCGGTGGCCACTAGAATTTTTTTTCAAGGGAAGTTTTAAAATCAGACAAGATATTCTAATAACTATCATATTATAAGCATGTGCTTCAAAATACATGTTTGTAACTTTATCTAATCAAATAAAACACCTGCATTCCTACCGTAAAGCAAATGCAGCCAAACCAAAATAATGTTACTCTCTTATAAAAAAATACATTACCAATTGAGCAGGCTGAATAATTATTAATTAAAGACATAAAACAATGCAAACTAAATGAATAAATTTCATTTCAATTGCATGTTTATTTTATTATAATGGTAATATTGGGTTTTTAACCCATAGCCAGCAGGTTGTTAATGACCCTTAGTAACTCCTCGAAACAGTGCAGACCAAGATCGGTCTGCACATCCACACCATCTGATGGTCTGTACTTTTTGCTATTTAGTCAGAATATTTTATTTAAGTTATCTAAAACGATGCATGGTCTTGTCCAAAATTGAAGGACAGACACAAGCCAATTTAATATATTTAGTGTGTTATGGGTTTACCCCTAGTTTCGAGCTTTACTGCTACACATGAAAACCTCTTGGTTTAAACATATTTATTTTAGCTCAATTGCGAAACAAGCTCTTGCAACTTATATATTAATCACTTTCCAGTCCGCTTCCTTGAACTGACTAATACAGTGGTTTTTCATACCAAGATAACCCGATTAGGGCTCAAACCCATGATCCCTGATTTGAGAGGCAGACACCTTAACCACAAACCCACCACTCCCCTCAAAAAAATCTGTTGTGGCTGTCTATACATTAAGTCAGGAACAGCTGGGCACTTGAATTTAACAATCAACCTTTTGTAAACATTAAGCTGGACAGCTACTCTACAGGAATGAATCCAAAAATTCTGACAGGACTTGAACCAACAACAACAATTAGGGTGTGTAATTTGACTTATAATCATAACATGAATCCCTTAACCTTGATAACATACACCAGATATAAAGCTAGGGAACATCTTATACCAAGCTTGGTTTGCACCTAGGGAACATGCATTGCTCAAAGCAGTTGGGCATTATATAAAAAGCATAATTATATAAGGCTTCAAGGCCATCTGAATTTCAATCCCCGAGTATCAATATATTCAACAATGGACCATGCATATCATAAAAAACATTTCAAGCCCTCTAGGCAAGCAATATTTAATATAATGAAGCAGGAGGACTATTGGCTGTAGTATATTAATATATATACATACACTTATGAGCAAAAGAAAGTATGCACTTAATTAACTGGCTTGAAAGATCAAACCTGAGACAAAGAGTACAGCTATTAGGAAATCTGCAGTGCCGGCATGTATCCTTAGCTCACAAGTTGAAGAATATTTCACAAGCAATATAAGTAATAATGACACTTCTGTGAGAAGAATTTTAGCCTGTGTGACTCCTCTGGGTAGACAATTATCTTATACTAACAATCTACTCCAGTCTCTTTGGGTGAATTTGGAGGACATCTATGTTGAAGTGTATATAAGAAAAGATTTTTGGTGTACAATTCATTTTAAATTTCCAATTTGTGGTAATTCGATCAAAATGTAATTGACATATCAAAACAATGAAATTGTTATGCAAAAACTTTTATGAACTATTTTCAATTTTATGTACTCTCTTTTGCTCTTAAGTGTATATATATATACAGCCATTTTATTTTCTCCAGGGTAATTTATATTCCAGCATCCATTTTGCTCAAATAGCACTTGGTGACAAAAAGACCATGTTTCCATGTGAACTCACCATAGACATAACAAAGACTTATACACTCTAGGATTGAAATAAACATAATATTCCAACCTCCGGCATACGTGTCCATTACTTCCAACATATATATTCCACCCTGTAATATTTAGTGGGTTACATGAAAATGTCAAAGTTTCCAGTAGTCTTTCTGGGAGAAATGAGCCGCGTCACGATAAAACCAACAGAGTACGTTTGCGACCAGCATGTATCCAGACCAGCCTGCACATCCGCGCAGTCTGATCAGGATCCATGCTGTTCGCTATCAGTTTCTCTACTTGTAATCAAGTTTGTAAGCGAACAGCATGGATCCTGATCAGACTGCGCGGATGCGCAGGCTGGTCTGGATCCATGCTGCTCGCAAACGCATTACGTTGGTTTTGTCAAGACGCAACTCAAATATTCAAGTCAGGTGAAACTCATTACATTATTTCAAGCATAAATTCAAGGATTTACTGCAAAACTGCAGTAACTCGTATGAGGTAAAGAAGTACTTACAACAGTCTTGTGGTCAACCCTCAATATGATACATATGTGAACATATAGAATTACTAAGAGACACTTCATATAGCAAATATTTACATTGTCATAAAATTTTCTATGTAAATAATTTGTTCTGATGCTCTAGCTATCTGTATTTTTGGTTTCTATGATTAAAATGAATAGTAGTAATTCATGAATCTTTAACTTACATGAACCAGATAACAGCAGAAAACATTATAACAGCTTGGTGCTAAAGGGTTGTAACTCCTTCTTTATCTAATATCAGTTACAACCCTTTTGCAACAAGCCCCTGTTAAATTTAATTTATTTAGTTAATTTACATATTATTACAAATATGATCTATGAAATGTAACACAATATATATTTAATATGTAAAATTATAATGTGACAAAAAAGGAAATGTAAGTAATAATAATTTTCTTTATGTTTTGAATGTAATCTATAATAATGCATTATGCTTAAATGCCTGTTTTCAGATTTAATGTAAAGTTTTGAACATTAACTGGGAGTTTATATATATAATATAATTAACTTAGTGCCCCTGACTGGTTGGAGCTGGTCACTCTTCAAATTTATATTGGGACATTATTTAGACCTAAAATTTGCTTATTCACCCCAAACCTCGAACTGTATTGCTCTTCCGTAGGTCTACTAATAAGGTCCCCACATAGTGTAACTGTAATCAGTGGGCAAATAGGGCACTTGCCTCTGGCAGCATTAAATAACTCTAAATTACAAATATTAGATGTCATTATGAAACTTACAACTTAGGTTATGTCACATTTCATCTTAGGTGTCAGACCACTGATGTAACTTAAATTTGTGGTGTCATGCCATAATCTAACTTAGATATAAGGTTTCAGACCACCAAAATAACTTACATTTGTGGTGAGTGTCAGACCCAACAAGAAGAAGATGGCACATAAGACCATCACTGTAAGCAGTTTGTATTTACGAAGTACGATGAAGCGGTCCATCAAAGCTGTTGTAACAGTTTCTACCAATACAAACTGCAGAGAAATAAAAAATAACCATCAGAACAACATAATATAAACATTATTATGCAGAATCAAATGAAATAATTTAAAATATGCTATTAATTTTGCTACATACATTCAGATTTGTTTTTGAATTCTCTGTCGTATTCAAATTTGACCATGTTAGAGTGGCGATATTTCCACATTTGATAAGGAATAAAGTAAATACTACTTTCTACATATATTTTCAGCACTGCTTTACAACAGACAATCAAAAAGTGAAATACACAGCTTTTTTTTGAGCAAATTTATAAAGTTTGTAGACTGACATAAAAAAGCATTTTATAACAAGAATGTCGAACGACACATATACCCCCCTTTCTAGCCATTGACTCACATAATTGGTAATTTTATTAAAGAAACTTGCCAAAAATGGGTACATGGAAGTGTTCAATTATGGAAAAATCAACGGAAACCATTTTGACATTTAAGGCCCATGTGACATTGACCTTTGACCTAATGACCCCTAAATCAATAGAGGTCATCTAATTCTTATGACCAATAACTAGGTGAAATATGAAGACTTTGTGATGAATACTTTTCAAGATAATCAGCGGAAACCCTTTTGACATTTAAGGCCCCTGTGACCTTGACCTTTGACCTAGTGACTCCAAAATCAATAGGGGTCATCTACTAGTGATGACCTATCACAATGTGAAATATGAAGACTTTGTGATGAATACTTTTCAAGATAATCAGCGGAAACCTTTTAAACATTTAAAGCCCCTGTGACCTTGACCTTTGACCTAATGACCCCAAAATCAATAGGGGTCATCTACTAGTTATGACTAATCACTATGTGAAATATGAAGACTTTGTGATGAATACCTTTCAAAATAATCAGCGGAAACCATTTTGACATTTAAAGCCCCTGTGACCTTGACCTAGTGACCCCAAAATCAATAGGGGTCATCTACTAGTTATGACCAATCACTGTGTGAAATATGAAGACTTTTGTGATACATACTTTTCAAGATAATCAGCGGAAACCATTTTGACATTTAAGGTCCCTGTGACCTTGACCTTTGACCTAGTGACCCCAAAATCAATAGGGGTCATCTACTAGTGATGACCAATCACTGTGTGAAATATGAAGACTTTGTGATACATACTTTTTAAGATAATCAGCGGAAACCATTTTGACTTTTAAGGTCCCTGTGACCTTGACCTTTGACCTAGTGACCCCAAAAGCAATAGGGGTCATCTACTAGTTATGACCAATCACTATGTAAAATATGAAGACTTTGTGATAAATACTTTTCAAGATAATCAGCGGAAACCATGTGGTCTACCGACGGACAGACCGACAGACCGACTGACAGACCGACAGACAGACAGACCGACATTAGCAAAACAATATACCCCCTCTTCTTCGAAGGGGGGCATAACAATTTTTACCCTTACAATCATTAAACCAATAGATGTTATCCGAAACTCGGCAAATGTTGGTTTTTCCAAGCTAATCCCCCGGTACAAACAAACCTCTACCGTTATAGCTTCATGGTTCATGACCAGCGGGCTACAAGAAATTAGTCAACCTGTTGTGCATATTTTTGAAGCTGTAAATGTTAAAGTTTGTTTGTACCCCTGGATAAGCTGGGGAAAAACCCAAAATATTCTTGATTCCGGAGTCTATTGATGCATATGAAAGTTTTTCTGGTGGCAAACGTAATGTAAAAGGATACGATAAAACTCAATCTGTTCATTATGTTTATTTATGTACCTGCGAATCTACTCCAAGTGTCAACAACATCAGGAAGAAAATGATTGCCCAGAACGGTGAGGCAGGAAGTAGGGTTACAGCGTAAGGATATACGGTGAAAGCAAGGGACGCTCCACTTCTTGCAACATCTTCAATTGGAACTCCTAGTTCATGCGACATGTTTCCAAGGTACGAGAAGATAACAAAACCAGCAAAAACGCTGGTCAGACAGTTACCAAGTGATACTGCAATAGCATCTCTATAAATACAAATTAATGTATCTATAAATAGAAGTTATTTCTATGAATTCATTTATAAATACAAATTATGTATATAAATAGAAATTTATATTTGTCTAAAACAAGATATGTTTGTAAAACATGTATGCCCCCTATCAGCAGCCAATTAGTCATGTGATAAGGTTATTATGCATGACTTCTGACCCAGTGATCAAACAATTAATAAGGGTTATCAAGTATCTACTGGTCATGACCTTAACCTTTGACCCCTTGACCCAAAACTCTATAGGGGTCATCTGCTGGTCACGACCAATCATCATACAAAGTTTGAAGTTCCTAGGCCTAAGCGTTTTTAGTTAATTGATCGGAAACCGTTTTTACCTACAAGGTCAATGTGACCTTGACCTTTGACCACTTGACCCCAAAATCAATAGGTCATCTGCTGGTCATGACCAATCACCATACCAAGTTTGAAGTTCCTAGGCCTAAGGGTTCTTTAGTTATTGATCGGAAACCGTTTTAACATACAAGGTCAATGTGACCTTGACCTTTGATCGCAAAATCAATAGGGGTCATCTGCTGGTCATGACCAATCAACATGCCAAGTTTGAAGTTCCTAGGCCGAAGCGTTCTTTAGTTATTGATCAGAAACCGTTTTTACTTACAATGTCAATGTGACCTTGACCTTTGACCCCTTGATCCCAAAATCAATAGGGGTAATCTGCTGGTCATGACAAATCACCATACCAAGTTTGAAGTTCCTAGGCCTAAGCGTTCTTAAGTTATTGATCAGAAACCGTTTTTACTTACAAGGTCAATGTGACCTTGACCTTTGACCCCTTGACCCAAAACTCAATAGGGGTCATCTGCTGGTCACGACCAATCATCATACAAAGTTTGAAGTTCCTTGGCCTAAGCGTTTTTAGTATATTGATGGGAAACCGTTTTTACCTACAAGGTCAATGTGACCTTGACCTTTGACCCCTTGACCCCAAAATCAATAGGTCATCTGCTGGTCTTGACCAATCACCATACCAAGTTTGAAGTTCCTAGGCCTAAGGGTTCTTTAGTTATTGATTGGAAAGCATTTTTACCTACAAGGTCAATGTGACCTTGCCCTTTGACCCCTTAACCCCAATATCAATAGGGGTCATCTGCTGGTCATGACCAATCACCATACTAAGTTTGAAGTTCCTAGGCCTAAGGGTTCTTTAGTTATTGATCGGAAACCGTTTTTACCTAAGCGGTCAATGTGACCTTGACCTTTGACCCCAAAATCAATAGGGGTCATCTACTGATCATGACCAATCACCATATCAAGTTTGAAGTCCCTAGGCCTAAGGGTTCTTTTGTTATTGATCAGAAACCGTTTTTACCTACAAGGTCAATGTGACCTTGACCTTTGACCCCTTAACCCCAAAATCAATAGGGGTCATCTGCTGGTCATAACCAATCACCATACCAAGTTTGAAGTTCCTAGGCCTAAGGGTTCTTTTGTTATTGATCAAAAACCGTTTTAACCCAAGAGGTCAATGTGACCTTGACCTTTGACCCCTTGACCCCAAAATCAATAGGGATCATCTACTGATCATGACCAATCATCATACCAAGTTTGAAGTTCCTAGTCCTTAAGGTTCTTAAGTTATTGATCGGAAACCGTTTTTGCTTACAAGGTCAATGTGACCTTGACCTTTGACCCCTTGACCCCAAAATCAATAGGGGTCATCTACTGGTCATGACCAATCACCATACCAAGTTTGAAGTTCCTAGGCCTAAGGGTTCTTTAGTTATCACTCGGAAACCATTTGGTCTACGGACCGACGGACCGACAGACCGACGGACCGACAAGTGCAAAGCAATATACCCCCTTTTCTTCGAAATGGGGGCATAAAAAGAATCCATAGGTTAATTCATAAAACATTATACTGTATACATTAATGATTACTTATCATTTTGATATAGAATAAGTCAAACCCCCCTTTTGACTATATAAAGCTACCCTCAATGAAAAAAACAAATTAAAAATCTGTTCTATATCATTTGCTGAATGTAACTATGTATTATAAAATAGAGTTTTATGCAAAATTCATCTGTGAACAACTGGAAATAATGCTCTTAAGGGTATACATGTGTCTGGTACCAATCCAAGTTGCATAACCTTATTAGTCAGTCAAGCTCGTCCGAAAGATATAGTTATCATTTATTTAGGTTGCAACACCTTATTTTTATCCATGATGCATATAATGGTCTCATTGGCATCAAAATAGTTAACGTTACATTGCAAAAATCAACTGTCATACATATCTAGAATTATTTAGTGAATTACTGAATACAAAATTTACAGGACACCTTTTGTAATATAATAGCCTTCAAGGACATAAATGGTGACATGGTGTTTTCTTTCTTAAAATAAGTATAATTTAAAATAAAAAATTTAAAAAAATTAGAAATGCACAACTCACCGTAAGCAGTCGTTATGGAAACGGTTATAACTGGAAAGTGCAATAAGGCCTCCCCATGATGCTGACAAGGAGAAGAAAATCTGGACAGCAGCGTCTTTCCAAATCTGAAACAAATAATGCATAAGATGTGGCTATCATCAAAATTCATAGTTAAAACAAAATCAGATCATAATTTAAAAAATCGTTTTCTAAAATTGCATTTTTAATGAACTGTTAAGAACTTAATTGATGATGCCAATGACCAACTGCTACACACTGAAACAGTAGAAATCTGCCATGCATGTTGAGCTATATAAATTGCCAAAAGATCACCATACCAGTTTTGTGAATGCTTCAAAAAGTATAAATACTGGTATAATTACATGTTTGTTTGTTTGTTTGATTGGGTTTTACGTCACACCGACACAGTATAGGTCATTTGGAGACGTTCCAGCTTTACTGGTGGAGGAAGACCTCAGGTGCCCTTCCGTGCATTATTTCAGGCACTAACGGGCACCTGAGTAGAACCACCGACGTTCCGTAAGCTAGCTGGATAGCTTTCTCACATGAAAGAATCCAAAGTCCTTGTTGGGATTCGAACCCACAGTGGTGAGGGGCAAGTGATTTATAACAACATGTACCATACAAATCTACTTACGACAGAGTCTGTCAGTCTATCAGTTTTTGGTGTGATATAGAACTCTATTCCTTCTTTATATCCATCCAACATCAATCCACGAACGAATAATATGACAAGTACAATATAGGGGAATGTTGCAGTGAAATATACAACCTTCAAAGTAGAACAAAATACATCCATCATAAGCTGGCATAAAAAATCTGGTATAGTTTAATTATACACACCAATAAGCAATTATAATGACCCTGAGCAAAACAAAATTATTCATCTGAATGCTTTCTATATAATAAGACATGTCCTCTGAGAGCAGGCACCACATTACTCAGTACTGGATAGTAAAATAAAAGAAATATAGAAAAGGGGCATAAGTCTGCAAACATGCTTAATGCCCTTGATAATCAACTGATGTGAATACCAAGAGTTTTTTAGAAAAAGGCAAAAAATTTTACTCAAGGGAAATAATAAGGCATTCAAGATTATCTTCCCCCTACAAGGGTGAAGCAAAATATGGACTTTTCATTGACCTTTTTTTGAATTCTAATTCACAAGTTTTTAACTGCTTTTTAGTTTACATACTGTCTTTTACAAAATATTTGTTTCATATTTCCTTGAAACATTTTTATTATATATTTCCCACCCTTTCAAAAATCTTTAACACAACAATCTTCTATGAGGAAAAAACAATTTTCATTTTAAACTTGTCTGTTTTAAATAAAAAAATCAAGCTATTAAATTGACTCCTTTGACATCATCAGTGTTGTTGTTGTCTTGCAAAATCTTTCTATGTATCCCATTATTCAAACATTGTTTTATAGTTTGAGACAAACAGTATTATAATTTTACATAACATGTATTCCAGGACAAATTTCTGGAAAAAAAACAACAACAAAAAACACACCTTTCCTGATGACTTGATGGACTTGCTGAGTGCCAATACTACCAAAATAAAAGCCAGTAAATAACATAGAACCATCTGCCAACGCATCGGCCCCAAGTCCCCAAGACCATCGCTAAAAGCATTGCCAATAGCTTTACGTCTGTAAGTAAAAACATGAGAAGTTGATCAGTTTCATATCATTTACATAGACAGTAAAATCATAAGCTTATATTCTTAGCTCAGACTTCCTGAAAGTTAAAAAAAAGTGTCAGACATTTGGTCTGACATACCATGAAAATCTGTCAGACCGAAATGAAATCTGTCAGACTGAATGTAATTAAACATTTAATCAAAGTAAAACTTGTGTTTGTATTTCTAAGACACTTTTCAGTTTTAATTTTTTCACCGTAAAAATCGGCACAGTCCGTATAGTGCATTTTCTTTTCCTCAGTGTTGTACACCAACCATTCACGGGCCTGCTTCCATTTTTCATTATATTTTCTCTCAGGTCTATTCTTTTCATCCTTTTACTGCTGTTCTGCGCGCTCCTCTGACGATTTCCGTCTTTTCCCAGGTTTAGCACCTTTAGCGACGCCATTTTGTATACATGCTACTTATATAAAAGCCGGACAGTCGGACCAATCCGGAATAAAGAATCGTCAGACCTCATCAAAATTTACCAGACATGTCCTTCCGACCGAAATTATTTCGGGAAGTCTGTTAGCTCCTTACAAATGGATGCAAATGCACCAGAAAACATCCTGCTATGCCTGGGATTTTAACCCTTGATCACCAGGTTATAGGCCAAAGTAATGTGAGAAAAAATTAATTTCCCGACGCAGTTGCCAGCAGTTTAATCTATAGATACTAGGATGACTTAAATTACTTTTCCTATAAGTAATTATGTACTAAATAGTTCACTGGGCACAACCTGGCTAAATCTTATCACACTGGTGCATGGATTATATAATTTTTGTAAATAACTCATATAAGTATTGTTCACATCCACTGGGCAGTGATACATGCCAAAAATCTAAGCTCTTTGGCACTGCCGTAAAAGTTTGAAGAAATAATTTTTTTTAATGATTTAATGACCTTCTTATGCATCAGAATGGAACCTTTTATGTTAATTTTGTACAGGCTACAAAGGATCATTCCTGATATTGATAATATTTTGTTTATCAAACCATTTCTGATTGCATGCTTTTCTTTACTAAAAAGGAATGAAAATATAAACTTACTCAAAATATTGCTCTGATGGAAGTTGCCTCTCAATTCCATTATCCTTTGCCAAGGCCAGGTCAAATATGGCAGCAATTTTGTCAGTGGTTTTATTATAACATGCTCCCTGTGTACGGTTGACATGATATTCCATCATCTCACATGCACCAGCATTATCCACCTTTTTGATATAGTCCAAGCACACTAGCAACAGAAAAATTACAATGACATAACACAAGAGATTCTCCAGAATTAAGAAAAATTTAATATTTAGAAATAATGGTCATATGGCAACTTTCCATCTTTACTGGTGGAGGAAGACCTCTGACGTCCCCTTAATACATTTTTTCAAGAACAAGCAGGTACCTGAGCAGAATTATCGACATTCCCTATGTGGGCTGGGTAGATTCTTCACATTAAGGAACCAAAAATCTGTTGGTGGGATTGAACGTACAACACTGAGGGACAAGGAGTTTGATGTCAATAACCTTAACTATTTGACTATGGACACCCAAAGATGTGAGAAATCCACATTTTCCCAGTCTGTACTATGATCTATTGGAAACAATTTGTTAATGACAACAACTTCACTACATATATCAATATTCATAACATCCTTATTAAGATATACCATTTTTATTTGTTTGGGTCATCAGACCAAACAAATAATGGTAGCGAAATTTCAGACACTGATGTTCTTTTATTTGCAATTGCCGAAAGTAGTCTAACTCCTCAAAGCGGTTAATTTCCTTCATATGTACATTAACGCTGAAAAATGCAGGGGAGATCACTGCGTAAAGAATGTCAAATGACAGGTGCATTAATTTTCGTAACAAAAAAACTGTTCCCGATTGGTCGAAGATTTCTAATAAATGTGTTGTTCTTATAGATATACATGCTTATATTCAGCTCCATGATTATTTACTTCAGTGTTAAACCACAGGTTTACCGTGAACAAAATATATCGAAATTAATAAGGGTTACAAACTCTAATTAAGAACAAGAATGTCGAACGACACATATACCCCCCTTTCTAGCCATTGACTCACATAATTGGTAATATTATTAAAGAAACTTGCCAAAAATGGGTACATGGAAGTGTTCAATTATGGAAAAATCAACGGAAACCATTTTGACATTTAAGGCCCATGTGACATTGACCTTTGACCTAATGACCCCTAAATCAAAAGAAGACCAATAAATAGGTGAAATATGAAGACTTTGTGATGAATACTTTTCAAGATAATCAGCGGAAACCCTTTTGACATTTAAAGCCCCTGAGACCTTGACCTTTGACCTAGTGACCCCAAAATCAATAGGGGTCATCTACTAGTGATGACCAATCACTATGTGAAATATGAAGACTTTGTGATGAATACTTTTCAAGATAATCAGCGAAAACCATTTTCACATTTTAAGGTCCCTGTGACCTTGACCTTTGACCTAGTGACCCCAAAATCAATAGGGGTCATCTACTAGTGATGACCAATCACTATGTGAAATATGAAAACTTTGTGATACATACTTTTCAAAATAATCAGCGAAAACCATTTTGACATTTAAGGCCTTTGTGACCTTGACCTTTGACCTAGTAACCCCAAAATCAATAGGGGTCTTCTACTGGTTATGACCAATCACTATGTGAAATATGAAGACTTTGTGATGAATTCTTTTTAAGATAATCAGCAGAAATTATTTTCACATTTTAAGGTCCCTGTGACCTTGACCTTTGACCTAGTGACCTCAAAATCATTAGGGGTCATCTACTAGTTATGACCAATCACTGTGTGAAATATGAAGACTTTGTGATACATACTTATGTTCAATTATGGAAAAATCAACGGAAACCATTTTGACATTTAAGGCCCATGTGACATTGACTTTTGACCTAATGACCCCTAAATCAATAGAGGTCATCTTATACTTATGACCAATAACTAGGTGAAATATGAAGACTTTGTGATGAATTCTTTTCAAGATAATCAGCGGAAACCATTTTGACATTCAAGGTCCCTGTGACCTTGACCTTTGACCTAGTGACCCCAAAATCAATAGGGGTCATCTACTAGTGATGACCAATCACTGTGTGAAATATGAAGACTTTGTGATACATACTTTTAAGATAATCAGCGGAAACCATTTTGACATTTAAAGCCCCTGTGACCTTGACCTTTGACCTAGTGACCCCAAAATCAATAGGGGTCATCTACTAGTTATGACCAATCACTATGTAAAATATGAAAACTTTGTGATAAATAATTTTCAAGATAATCAGCGGAAACCATGTGGTCTACCGACGGACAGACCGACAGACCGACGGACGGACCGACAGACCGACATTAGCAAAACAATATACCCCCTCTTCTTCGAAGGGGGGCATAATAATATGGTATTCTTCAGGCTATTATCTTATAACTCCCCGTGGTCGAGGGGTTTACATGCTCGCTTTGGAAGCGAGAGGTCCGGAGTTCAAATCCCAGTTCAGGCAACTCATTTTTTTTATTTTTTTATATATTTTTTTTTTTAATTGATTAAGCCAATAAACATTGAATTGAATATCAGTGATGCAATTAGTCTTATAGCCAATTTACTATAGTTTTAACACTGGAAATAGAATTTGGCGATACTTTACAAACAAATTGGTTTATAATCTCACAACCTTCACCTTTCTGACATTCTGAGACCAAATCAAATTCAGCGCCTTCTGTGCTTTGATTTTTTTTCATTATAGTCTGTTACAGTCCTAATTAACCCATAACATACTGGATATTTTAAACTTCAATATTTGGGACTGTCTATTATCAATTTTAGCGATATCAATTTGAATATTTAAAGTTTGTCAGCCAACAGTATAGAGCCTGGTCAGACTGCATGGCTGTGCAGGCTGGCCTGGCTCCATACTGGTGGCAAACGCTTTAAGCTTTTGGTTCGAGCACTAAAAGGGTTAACAAAGGACACTTACTTTCTGTGGCCCATTCTGGATCACATTTTTCCCAAGGTAATTCACTGGTAAATGATGCAAACAGATAGTAGAGTGACCAGCCTATGATCATGTTGTAATAGATGGCAACCATAGCTGATACAGCAACCATACCAACTCCTACACCTGAAATGTTATTTGTAGAGTTGAATACATGTATTAGTTTAGAGAATTGTAGAGTTGAATATTAGTTCAGAGAATACCATAATCAATACAATAAAGTATCATGGATGAAATAATCAGTGGTTTTTCATCTTATATAACATAGGCCTAAAAATAGAAATTTTCTTTAAAATAATGCAATTTTCCACAAAAATCCTAACATACATCAGCTTTTTACTTTCCCAATTTAGAGAGTATAGCCCTGTGAATGTTACACAAATTGTCCTTGTTTTATGCAAGTTACCAACAAAACTATTACTTAGAACCACTTTATTACAGTAGTTTAATAATGTTGTCTCTGGCCTATGTTAGTTAGTTATGTTGTCTCTAGACAACCAGTCACGCAAATCCTTTTTGTAAAGCGATGGATTAAAGTTTACAGGAGATATTTGTGAAACATGTATGCCCCCTCACCTTATAGACAACAATAAGTGATGTTACATATACTTCTTATTCGTAAACTTTTTAATAAATCAGATTGTGAACATTGTGGCTGGGACCTTGATATCATAATTATCATTCAATAAATGATTATTATAAATTTGCAGCAGAAGTGCAGTTCACTGCAACAACAGTGCAGCTCACGGTTAACAGGTGAAAAAGTTAATATTGCTCCTTTGAGTTATTTTAAAACAGTGATCTGCATGATATTTCACATTTAATCAAAGAATAAAATTCTATTCTATACCTTGGAAAAGTGGAGCGTATTTCCAGCATGTCAGTGGACCACTGCTGGAAAACTGACCAAGTGATAACTCCAAGAAGAAGATGGGCATACCAACAAATGCCAACATGATCACGTATGGAATGAAAAAGGCACCTGAAATATTCAATATGAAAATAATATTTTTTTTTGATATTATAAATACTTGACACTTGTCGTGCTGAATTTGTATACTAACATCCTTCATCTTCTTCAAAGTTGGAATAGGTCTTATGCACTTTTAGAAAACAATTTCTTGATGACATTCTTTTTCATTAACATAATTCTGACTATTTACAGTACCCTTAAAAATTACAGGTATAACGAACATGTTAAAGATTTAAGAAATGCATTTAACATAAACGATGCATTATGTTATCATATACTGTATTATATTTCCTCATAAATTCAAACAGCATAAAAGAGTTGAGTTGTTAAACTATAATTAAACTGACATCCTACACTTACATTGTATACATAACCATCCAATACACACATGTATCAGTGCATTACAACAACATCACTACCACCCTAGGGTGGGTAATAAAACTTTTGACTTTTAGATTTTCAATAAAATCCCCACTTCTTTTTTCATCCTACACCACAATGAGTTTGACATAGTTCCCAGCTAATTTGGTGCCAACACTAAGCCACCACAATTTGACCTGACACAATGACTATGGCAGAAACAATATTGGCTTGTTTTCCCCAATTATCTCCAACAATGATTCTGGGAGGGAGTTGACAATTAAATGGTGCAATTTAACCTACCTCCTCCATTTTTGTAGCAGAGATACGGGAAACGCCAAACATTTCCCAAACCTACAGCATAACCAAGGCAACTAAGGAAGAAATCAAATCTGCCTGACCAATTCCCTCTCTCTTCATTTTCATCCTCAAGGCCCTGCAAGATAAAACATTAAATTTGCATAACTTTGATGACAATGACACCTATTTAAGGTTTAAGTTCGTAGTTGTACAAGGGTAACCCCACTCCTCACCCCCCCCCCCCCCAAAAAATGCTAGAACGGAAATCCCCCAAACATTTAAGTGAGGAAGGTGAATCTTTATTCATTATTTATGTAACCTCAGAGACTATAGTCCCTCCTAATGTTTAACGCAAGTTAAAATTGTTTCACCCCACTACCCACCAAAAAATGATTTTGTTTACATAAATGCTTTTAACATACATGCAATCTGATAACTTTACCAATATTAAAGAAAATTTTATTTTGCATAAAGCATGGGCATGGTATTGATACCAATACAAATTGTAATACATGTATATACAATGTTTGGAGGTCAAACATGAATGTTACAGCAAACAAAACAAGATTTATGGAATATTATGTTCAATATTCAATATTTTGCACTTGCATGATTGTATATCAAGTATAAAAAAACAGACGCCAACATTCAATATTCTTAAGCTAAGTTAATATTCTTAAGCTAATATAAAGTCTACACTATACAGATATTTCAACTTTAGAAGAGCACTTAAAATGTTTCATCTGTACATTTTATGATTTATTAATTCATGATCATGCATGTCAAAAGGGCCATGCTAAAAAAATTATTATCATTTCACATGCATTTATATGAATAAATCCCTGAATATGAATATTTATGGACATTTTGAGGACTTTCAAAAAAAAAAAAATTTATTAGAATAAACATGAAAGTCTTCTAAATCAGAACTTTAATTAATTTTAAAGCTTTATATATGTATGTTTGTATAAATGATTTGTGGACCAGTTAATATATTGTGTAAATATAAAAGAATAAACCTCGATGTTAGTTTAACCTTGACCCTGCTGGCAGCAACAAAGTCTAGCCATGTGATCAGTGCAGACAAAGATAAGCTGGACGAATGTTTAAAACCATTATTATGCACTAATGTATGTTTGAATGTAGTTACTGCATAAATTATATATTTAATTGAAACTTTTATTCACTTTAAAGGGTAGATATATAATTTTTAGAGAAACCTCATAGACTTAAGTACAGAATTCAACGCAGAGTAAAGACCATTCCATCCAATGAAACTTCTGTCCAGGATGAAATGTACCTTTGTTTATGTATAAAATTCAGCATATAATACAATTCCAGCTGGAATTGTTCTGGTTTTCTGCCTAGAAGGTCAACAAATTGTTTTCTGTGGCACAGAATGACACATGCATTTCCGTCCAAGGTACATCCAGAAATCGTTGAATCCGTCCCAAAATTTCATACCGGCAAGCTGTATCTCATATGAGCCGTGTCATTACAAAACCAATATAATGGGTTTGCAACCAGCATGGATCCAGACCAGCCTGCGCATCCGGGCAGTCTGATCAGGATCCATGCTGTTCGCTTACCAATCCTTTTACAAGTCGAGAAACTGATAGCGAACAGCATGGATCCTGATCAGACTGGTCAGTTTAGACTGATCCATGCTGGTTCCAAACCCATTATGTTGGTTTTGTCGTGACACGGCTCATATGTTTTTCTATAACATTTCTAGATGGTAAATTTTATTGTTACCATTTTATCTTATAGTAGATTCTTGAATATAGTTGTAACACATAAGCTCTTAATGTTATTTGGTGTATATGAATGTTGCACATAAAAAGAATAAAATGCTCTAGAAGAAAATATAATTAGGCTACTTTAAGTCAGGTTTTTACCATTCAGCAAAAATTTTGTGCATGGTTTGCACTCTACACTCGTCAAACATATTTAGGTAAATTTTTAAGTTTTTCTTTGTCAAAAATAAAATAAAAAAATTGTTTACTAGAGTCCAAAGATAATAGCTTTTTTACAGTCTTTTACCTGTGAACAACCTAACAATGTTTTGAACAAAACCCATAAATTTTTTACGTTTATAGTGTGTTAAGTGTTATGTTACAAATATCTTGATGAATAAGATGTCTATGATAGGGTTATTTACATACTCAATACCTATTGCCTTACACATTATTTTAGTGGGGGGAAAAACTACATTAAAAAGCTAAAAAAATGTTTAATCCTGTATGATACCATATTATGATTTCTAATCTTTTTCTAAACCACATTTTACATTGTATCATCAATGTTAAAACGGGGTAAGATTTCAGATACCTTAGATAATATACCATAGTTTTATAAATAATGAACTGAATTCAAATCTTTTGAACTGAATTTTGTAATCCTCTTTTTCATATGGAAAATTTTGCTATGCAATACAAATATCTCACAATGTTAAGCACTTACTCAGGCAGAAAGTTTATTTTAAGGTTCTGCCGTGTAGAACTTCATAAAATCCTATACTTTGCTCAGTTTGTTTATAAATTTCTTGCCTTGTCATTAAGGTCCTACTTTATATATATATAGACTTTAATAAATCCTGCTCAGTTATCCCTGCATGTCTATATAATACGAGGGTTGTTCGGAAAGTTTTGAGACAATATGATTTTCTCTGTTTCTAATTACAGCTGCGAATATTATTTAATACAAATTATAGCTTAATATGTTATTTATCCGAGTTATGTCTTTAAAACGTTGTAACGTTACTATACTGCATATAATCGTTTCCATAGCAACACCTGTCTACGCATCCTGGCGCACGGACTATTTTCTTGTTATAAGTTTTCTTACTGAATAAAAAGAGCCCCTAAAATTGCGCCAAACGTCACGAAAATTTTATGACGTCACTTCCAACTTAAGGACGTCATTTCCGCTAGTTGTTTAAGCCGTTACCGCAGATCATTATAGCAATACGTGCGCGACAAGACAACGACTATGGAAACACCGTCAAAAGAGGAACAGCGTGTTTTTATTAAGTTTGGCGTTAATCTTGGGAAAACGCCAACAGAAACTAAGCAACTTCTAGAACAGGCAAACAACGGACGTACAGTACTGGACACGCGAAACCCGCACAATTCGCGTATTCGCGGCGAACTCTCATGCTTTATAACGCGAGCGAATTCGCGGCAACTTGAGACAATCGCCGCGAATTCAACTCGCGGCGATTTTGCCGTGAACATTTGCCGCGATTCGCGGGGAATAATACATGTTCATTTATATAATAAATGTAGATCTATTTATAAGTGTAGTCTGTGAACTTGAAACCAGATATACATGTACAAGTACGAAAATTAATTAGTAGATCTACATGAAGAAAATCTTGTAATTTGCTAAAATGCCCTTTCTCTATTTATCTTTGATGCCAACAGCAAATATAAATAACCACGGCGAAATCAAATAACACCGTTAAAAACTTTCCGTGAATGGCGGAATCATGACCTCAATGTATAAATGCGACGCAGTACAAGTATGCGGCTCCATCTGCAGGTAAATAGTGTGCATGTACACGTGTAAAACTTTTTTTTTGGGGGGGGGGGGTACATATTGAGTTTAAAGTAGAGATATAAATATAATATATGTGTAAAAAGATATTTAGTTACATAAAAAGATGCATAATTGATACGACATTAACTTGTTCATTTCTAAATGTAGTGGATCACCGGGACATTTCGTTCTCTCGGGTGATCATTACTCAATTTATTACACGTTTGTAAAAAATAACACACGCAAGATTTGTCTGCTATAATTTCTGAATGGCGGATATTTGCACCCCTGTTTTAAAAATGTTAAAATATTTAATTGTTAGTTACCGAAAATTATCGCCGATTGTTGAAATTCCATAGCGCTAAAAGACACAAAAACACTCGCGCAAAAAGAAGCATCCATAAATAAAAGGAATATAATGTTTCCATTGTTAAATAATGAATACAAAATTTACACACGAAATGACCTCTGACAAATGACTGGTCGGCTCTTCTGAAGAATCTTTGATGTTTACACACCTGTAGTTGTTGCCGAATCATCAAAGAAATGCCGACACTCGATTGACTTTCACCTCTTTTTTATATATCAGAAAAAAACTGTCATTTCTTTTTGTCAAGGAATGATTACACATGTTTAATTATTGCTCAAGTAAAAAAAATGTTGGATATTGATTGTGTCAATTATTGACATATTAATCGTAAGTGCATTTTGATTGTGATATTTTATTTACATTTTAATGATCTTGAAGATATTGTGCAATACTTGTGTCTGCTATCAAAACAATAATGCATATGAAAGGATATTTTTTTCGGTCAATTTTATGACCACGCTTCTACCAGAAATGTTTTATTGCATGGGCTTATAGTATTTAATCAGTGTCGTCAGTCATAAACAAACGAACATGTACCCCAAAGCACATTAAAATTACCACATGGTAAACTAGTGACCATATAAATGCTTTACAAATATTCATTAATTTGAAAAAAAAAATTTAATCCCGTTTCCACACCTTAATTTGATACGTGCTATTATTAGTTAATTCAACTTAATTGCCGCGCGCATGCAGTACTGCGTGACGTAAGGAAAATATCCTTCCCTGGTTGGTCGCTATTTATGTAAATACTTTAAATAGTAACACCCTAATTTTATGCACAGAATGCCCTCATGAATGATCACTCGTTACTTTACATATTAAATGTGTGATTTAACTCCGATTTTATTTTTGTTTTCGAGGGAATTTTTTGGGTCAAATGCCCTGGCTGATTTGGCGGGAATAAAAAAAATCTGATTTGCATCTTGCTACTCATCACCTACTCATGCACCTGGCATTTTTTACTCGTGAAATTGAAGGTAAAGAATGTCAATTTAAGTGATAAAACTTTTACAGTTTTCAACAATCATAATCAGCGTATTAGACGTAATAATTAGTTACATCTGTGAATCGGTGCTAAATGTCGCTTTGCATTGTTCTAAAAATAGAATATGTGCGAAAGTAAACAATGGATTTTAATTACATTTGTATTATTATCAAAATAACAATTGGACAATTTGTTATCGTGCGTTCTTTGATGTAGTACCAATTACCTTTTGTAATTTCTATCTCGTTTTATTGTTAACTAATTTTCACCAGCACCTGATTGCTTTTTAATATACAAAATGTATACGCTGTACATGTTCAAATGCTAAATATTTATAAATATACAAGACGTTTACAAGATTTTTTTAAAGTTTTCAAAATTAAAGACCACGGGAATTAAGGACCAAGTAGTACTTTCTAATACAATTATTGCTGAAGATTCGCCGTAAATTACGGCGATTCATCGCGGCGATTTTTCGTGACCCGCCACGAAATTCGGCGAACTTGCACGCGGCGATGTTTTACCGCGAAGTGTCCCGTCGCGACATAGACTACACTCGCGGCATAACGCGACTTTTGCGGGTTTCGCGTGGCCAGTACTGTACTGTTAGTCGACCATTGGTATTTAGATGGCATAAAGAGTTTCGGGATGCCAGAAAGTCAACAAAAGACAAGGAAAGGAGCGGTCGCCCATCCGTCATCGACGATAAACTGACACTTGCAAGAAACTCGCTTCAGTGCGACCGTCGCATGTATACGATTCTAGAGTTATGAGCATTATTGCAACATTTAAATCTGACTGGTATAGAAATGTATTCGCCAAGTGGGTTACGAGGCATGAGAAATGTGTACGTTGTGAAGGAAGATACTTTGAAAAGGAGTAGCAGTTGACTTTTCTACGGTGATGTTAAACTCTGGAAATAACGGCAACGTCGGATAACATCGTTGCGTGCGCCGGGTCACCAGTAGTGTCTGTGCCTAACGCTTTGTAGCTTTTGTATACATGAAGCTATTGTTATGAAATTTTACACTGTAATAGATGAGGTATTAAAGTAATACATAGTAAACTCTTGTTTGATTTTATCTTTTCCAACGCTAAATATTGACCCAGTCTCAAAACTTTCCGAACAACCCTCGTACAATGTTGATTATAGGACAGTTTGCATGACTATTCTCTGTGCTAAACATTTATAGTGAAACAAGAGCCTGGATAATGTAAAAATTTTAAGTCCAAAAATTCTGCAAAAGAGTGACCTCCTGTCACACTCTCAAATACTTAGTGTGTGAGGTTTCAATTTATTCCCTTATGAAGTTTCTTAGTAACCAACCTGCATGCAAAAACCTAATAGAAGTGTGATGCCGACACCTGTGCAAGCAAAATATAGAGCTCTCTTATGCTTCAAATAGTCAAACTAATTAAATTAAGAGACTGACAGTCATTATACATGTACTCTTAAGTAAGTCATAATAGCTGCCTACATTCAAATGACTTAAACATCTTAAGCAAGTTTTAACTACACATATTAATTTTGCAATCATTTAGTGTTAAATTTTATACAGGGCCTATTCCAGCTATTTTAGGAAAGTCCCCTGGCATAGTGGGAAAAATATTTGTCATTATGGAATTTTTATTATTAATTTTTCAAAAGTTAAAAAACTGCCATAATTATACATGTCATTTTTAAGAAACATATCTGTTCAATTTTCAAGCAGCAGTTTGAAAGTTTTTTCCTTAATTTGGGGGTGAGGGAGGGCTATGCTGAATTGTAAATGTGGCATTATTTCAGCCTATGATGTTAGGGTGAAAGCATGACAGTATCATTTATATATATTAATCATCCCCTGCATGATTTGGCAATGAAAAAAGACAGATCTAGATAGGTACCAGGATTCTAATGACATGTACTGTAACAGTATATTCAATATACAATTCATTCCATCCAAATCAGCTATGAAATTACATTATAATTCACAATTTTCAGTAGATCTGGAGATTAAGTGCAATGAAAATGGTATTAAAACTCATCATGGATGAGTGATATTAACAGATATAGCCTATACACTTAAAGAAACTTGATATTTATCATAATATAGATCTATATTATAAATGACTGATTTCATATAAAATACTATAGTATACTTAGTTAATACATCATCAAACAGTTTTTAAAATAGAACAAACTTCAAGCACATATTTAAAACATATCTAAATATTTAATCTGAAAAGCTTTACTACCATTTAAAAAGAGGAAAGAAAAGATTTTTTTTATATTGTTTTTGAAAATACAAAAGTTGTAAAATATTGAAATTGTCATTATCTCGCTACAAATAAGCACAACATTTTCATACAATATACAGAGATAATTGGTAGGCCTGATATGCAAAAGCAAATGAGTTGAAAACAAGTGCAAGTCTATGTGTCACATTATAAAAACAGTTTAAAGCTGCGACTGCCTCAAGATGAGACAAAATAGTTCAATAAAATCAAACCTGAGAAAACTGTACTAACATTTTAGCAAAAGTAAACAGATTTAAGATTTAGATAATAATTTACATGTTTTGTGCAAAAATGGTCATTCTTGGGAGGGGGGAATATATCACCATATATATTTCTATTTCTACTGCATTACTAACAACAGTGTGAACACTATTTTGGAATATATTGAGCTCATTTTTAGTAATTTGCATGGGTTGTGACTGCTGTTTGCAATATGTAAATTGCTTCCTCTTAAATTCTTCACAATATTAACTTTTAAATACATTTTCAATTTTTTCAAATATACCTTGTGATACCTTGTGATGTTTGGGAAACTTTATTAGTCCCCTAACGGACTATCATTCCCCTCGAGTTCCGTTTTCAGTGTCGTCCGCTCCGGTATTGGTCTATCTAATATATATTGTCCATTTTAAATCTCTTCCATTGCCTGTGTTTATCTAATTTAGATTTGAACTCATTTACATTCTTTGATAAAACTATTTCACTGGGAAGTAGGTTCCATTCGTTTACGACTCTATAAGTGAAGGAATTTTGTCTTATTACCTTTAGTGGTCTTAACTTTTCTAATTTATAAATATGTCCTCGGATTTCATGATTTGTAACAGATAATTTGAATAACTTTTCATAGTCAAAATCGTCTATTTTGTGAATAAGTTTAAAAACTTGTATCATATCTCCACGTTGACGTCTGTATTCAAGAGTTGGTAAATTCAAAGCCCTTAATCTTTGTTCATATGTGAGTCCTCTTAGTTCAGGGATGATTCTTGTAGCTCTTCTTTGGGTATTTTCCACCAGTTGTTTATTTTTCTTTGTTACAGGGTAATCAATGATATTTCCATAATCAGTGATTGGTCTTATAAGACCTTTATACAATAACAAAAATTTCTTCTTATCCATGTGAACAAAATTTCTTTTCAGCAACCCGATATGTGAGTTTACTTTATTAACAGTACGACCTATGTGCTCATCGAATTTCAAATTAGACGCAAAATTAATACCCAAGTCTTTTTCCTTATCAATGATTTCAATATCAACATCAATACCAGTGTTGTCTTTCATTTTGTATTTTGTATCAAAATTGCTGTTTCCAATCCGCATTATCTTACATTTGCTAGAGTTGAATCTGAGTAACCAGTCGTCACTCCATTTACATAGTGTATTAATGTCATTTTGAAGTAATTGTTGATCAGACATATTTCTCATAATTCGATATAATTTTGAATCATCAGCAAAAAAATAATATAGTGGAACCCCATTGTATCGTGCTATTCATTGTATCGATCTATTTACAAATTTTTCGATTTTTTTTGCAAAATGCACTAGCTACTGATTGTTTACATTTTCAAAAGTGTCGGGAAAATCTTTCGCATTTGTTTTGTGCCGTAAAAATGATCAAAAACATGTTTTAGGTACTATCAGACCTTGTAGATTATAAATAGACTTATAAATACTAAAATAGTGTGTTCTTATTAAAAGTACATTAACTGTCTGTTGAAAGTTCCTAAATTATGCTGACATTTTAAAACAGACATCTATGATTCTAATTGACTGAAAAATCTAACATAAACATGGTTCAGGCTTCCAAAACTTTGACTAACTGAGCGATTCTCACAATGCATCGATATAATGGCGTGACCTAATTCTTCAACCTGTTTGACATGTCTGTAAAGTGTAAATATACGTATATTCCAAAGCTAAAAACTATATATCAGTGATGTTTGCCATGTAAATATTATGTCAAAAGAATAAAAATAAATGATACAAAATAAAGATTCAGGGAGATTTAAATTTTTTAACTGCAGTTGTGATTTATGGGTAAATAGATCGATACAACGGGGTTCCAGGCTACTAGTATCTAAATAACTGCATTAAAATTAGTAAAATGATCCAGTCAATGCTAATTAAAATCATATATCGGGAAACAAATTGATTATTCAATAAAGCATTAAGAAATCAATTAACATTCAAAACAATGGGATATCTTAAAGACTGTGTAAATTAGTATACACGTAAACACTGCCAATGTGTAAATGGCGAATTCTTATCTAAGGGAGTTAACCCAATTATCTAATTGTCGGATCAGAATGTCGACACTGGCATCAGTGATAGTTACTGTACAAGCATGTAAAGTATATCACAAGATACATAATGAAAATGTAAATACTCATGTAGATCTATTTGATAATTACTTTTAGTTTAAGTATAATTTTCTGATTTTGATGTTTATGCTATTTTCACTTTATATTTTCATGTTGCATTTGATCTGTACTTAACCAATATGTTATGCATGTTATTACCACCAATGTCTCCTATTCAAGCAAATTGTATAAACATGTTTGTTATTTTTTACTTTATTGAAACAATAGAAAACTTACAATGAAAATATGCTTCTTATGCTTCTTTTGAAGGGCATCAATAATTGCGTTATTTTGAGTCTCGATATGAGCTAGACGGTCTTCTATCGACCGGTCATCCTTTCTGTATTCTTGCGCCGACATCCTGCTCCCTTTCTCTCACTCCTGATTGGCTGAAAGAAAAAAAAACAAGTAAAATGGATGCATATAAAATCTTCAAGTGGTAGCCGCAAAAAAAAACGGTTTAAATTACATCTATTAAACCCGTGCTCCCATGCAAAAGTGACTTTTCTAGCACTCATGTAAGTGTGGCCAACTTCGTGTAGTTGGCTGCATCAGGGCATTTCAATACTATTTGAAAGACCCATGCTGTATAGTTTTAATAGTTCTTTCAAGGAAACCCCTGGATTTTACAATACATGTACGCAAAGGTTCAAAGTAGGACAGGTTCAAAATACATGTATAAGTATAAAACTGGCCGCGAGAGAAAAGAATTTGCTATTAAAAACCAACGGACCATAAAATTTCTACGACTATATCGTATACACGGATCATGTGATACCGAACAATAAATACTTAATAGGGTAGAAACTGAATAAAAGGATAGATAAAATTACAACTAATATGAGGATCCTTTTTTCCCAATTATCACACAATCTCGATTTTAATACAGGCTTGTAAGAAATAAATGTCAAACAAAGGCCAACCTTTAAGCCAATGTTCGTAACCATATATCTAATATCTTTTTATCTTCATCAAAAAATGTATAAATTTTGAGAATTTAACACTAAAAATCAGTCGGAACGAGTTGAATTGTTATTTTTTAGTAAGAAAAAAAGAGAAAATGACAAAATATTTCATGGTATAACAGGATTAAAACAATTCTTTTATTGATTTCACTTTTGTGAGTGGGGAGGGGGTGGGGGTGTTCGGGATGATGGTAGTTGTTTATGAAACCACTAAGGCATGGAGTACATGCAACCACATGGTAGCTTAATTAGCTGTGGAGAGAGGTCTGAGATACACCACTTGTAACATTTTAGTCTTTCATAAGTGGACATGAAACTTACCCCTGTACCCAAGATAGCTAGATAGGCAAGCATTTGCAAATAATACAAAAAAGAGAGGAAAATTAATTTTCTCTCGTTTCCTAATTCTTACTCAAATCAATGAAAAGCGTCAATGTCATATAAATCGCTCGGACATTCAAGTCTTGCATATTATATATAACGTTGTATATACGAGGGTTGTCCCAAAAGTCCGTGACAAATTTTATAGCCGGTTCATTTTTAACGCCAATAGAAAATAATTCACACATATAACCGTTAAGTTTATTATTTAACATTACAACAAATCATTTACAAAAAAATTTACCCTAGTTACTTAGAAATTTTCAGTATTAACGACATTGGTTTGAGTTGCCGGCGCACGTCAAATAATTTACATTTTGTTATGAATAGGCTGAAATTAATTACGTATATTTCAAATATCTGATGATGTGTCTGCACAATGTCACGTTGACTTCCTCTGCTGCTATGTTTAAATCATCTCTGAAAGTTTTAGTTAAATAACTTAAAAAACGAAAAAGATACGAATAAATGAAAATATCCCATATAAAAAAGGAAAGTTAAAATGGCGACGTTCGTTCGAAGAATATGCGGCGCAGTGAACATGTCACTCAGGTTTTATGTCTATTTCGAGATGACACATGTAACGATTTTCAACAAATATACCAAATATAACAGTTTAGCAACATATTCTGAGCATTTGTGTACAAAAGGCATGAACGGGACCAGAGTTCTACACTACAAAAAGCGAAAATAAGAAAAACATGGATAGGAAGACCGATCTTCGTCGCCTATTTCCTACAGCTAAAAACAGGAGTAACGAGACCGGAAGTTCGCGTATAGCAAAAATTAATGTATGCCATCCAACCATTCAACAGACATTAACAACCACATGATTTAAGTCAGAAATTGACGATTTATGGATACCATTATTGCGTTGAAAGCCATTGAGAGTATTTGAGAAAGGCGCCTTATATAGATTTAACGCCGTCTTTGACGTTGGACGTGCGCCGCGATTCAGTTAGTTGCCATGGTGCTTATGGCATATTTTTGTTGTTTCTTGATATTTATCTATGAAAATTTGTGAAAATGTATAAATTATATGGGTTTATAACATATTAAAATATCAAATTCGTACCTGTTTTATTTAGCTTTTAATCAATCTTGTCACAGAATATTGGGACAACCCTCGTATAATAGGCATATACCGTTTTAAAACCATACCCGCCTATTATAAATTACACGAAGTTAAAGAACAATTGCATGGGTTCAAAGGCGATGCTTGTTTGCCACCATGCCATTAAAATGCCAGATTTACATCATTACTTTGATGAGGCTTAAGTTAAATATGTTTTCTTTCATTTCAAACTTTACATGAAATTCTATATTTTATTCCACTTCCTATAAACGTAAAGTAAATAACCCGGTAAGAACTCGAGTCATCTTGTAATGGTATGAAAAAAGTCATAAAAATGTATGCCTTTTTTTGTTTAACACTGCAGTGTCCTACTTTTAAGGTAAAAATGTAGATACGGAATTTTTTATCACGCAGTAGAAGTCTGAGTGAATAAATACAATGATATTTGATCTCGGAACAATGGTTATTTTCAAGCTGTAATAGATTCATAAAATGTATGAGTGGTCTCAAAGGAGTTTATTTGGGGTAAAAAAAAGTTAAAAACGCGTTATAATTCAAGTTCGCATTCTATATATTCACCCAAATAAATGTATAAGAACTAAGTGAAACTTTTAAACCTTCCTCCTAACTTTTCACAAGTTGTTAAAAATAAATCCTTGTTTAATTAATACATGTATCAACTGAGGTTTTGCGAAATTTTCTTAAATTTGAAACAATGTTATATTTCATTAAGATGCATATAGATAATACAAAATTGAGTTGTTAATCCACTGTTGTAATATGAATGATCTATATGGCCACCGCTCCGGACAGATGTTTCAGATCTGAAATAAAAACTGGATGGCTGACAATGCTGGAGTAGCACATTAAATGACATACAGTTTTTCTTCATTGTTAGAATATTCTTGGCTTTATGAAATGTTCCAAACAGATATTACTGAGAATATGCACAGTTCTCCGAAGCCTTTGAAGCTAATTTAATAGCTCGTTCAATGAAAGGTTTTCATTGCAAAAGATTTATTCAAAGCACACCTAAACATGCTTATAAAACTGGCATACATGTAAGGTGTTAAAAAAAGAAAGATTTTCCAAGAAGAGTAAAATTTTAGTGTGTGGTCTTTTTGTTGTTTTTGTTGTTGTTGTTTTTCCTTCGGAGAGAGAGAATTTACATCTCACGGGTTTTGTAAATACTAGATAGAAGCCTCAAATAAAACGACTCTGACAGACATATTGCGCGCGTGTATACGTGTTGATTTTTGTATACCTTCGCCACTGTAAAAAATGCATACGACATAAAGATGCAAACTTAAATCATATAGAATGTCACCCGTTACCATCATAGTATGTTTAGAAATTTCTTGCAGATTAACAAAAACCGAGTACATAAATGTGTAAAACTGTTAGAACTTTGAAACCCCGACACCACAAATGTTGCTCAGCCAACTTTACAAAGCATGTAACTCTCGTTTGGTAACGTTTTAAGTAATATATATAAATAAAACAAATTTAAAAAAAATGACAGTATTTTACATCACTTTACAAATTTTGAGCACGCGGGTTAAAATTTATTCATACGGTGATTTATGATGTTATATTTCAATGATGCATAAGTTGTAAAAAGCCAAAAAAAGTAACGTTTTTTTACATTAAAAATCAAACTCTATAGAGCACAATGTCGTTATCATGGTATACACCATTACAGTTAAAGAGCGTCACAATAATTACGTCAAATGTTTTATCATCACCAGGCGCCGTCTATTAGTCATGCGGCAAGGTTTTACTCCTATATATGTGCAAGAGATAATCGCAATAACCATAAAATGTGCATATAACATTATCATTATACATTATAACTTACTATTCATTGCATTTAGGCAATTTGTATCATTTTTGTTATCATAAGTAAACGTTTAGCAGTATTTTATGTTTTTATATACTATGCAGTTGCCGATTCGATGAACATGGATGTAAGTTATGGCATGTTACCTAATAGAGGGAAATAGACAACAACTATTTAATCCTGATGCTTCATCTAGATCATTATTTTTTTCATATTTTGCTTCGAGTGGAAAATTTAACTTAATCTGTTAAAATGTCATGTGAACTGTTGGGGAGCATTAGACACAACTAGAACCTCGTGTACTTTACTTGGTTTAACAAGATAAAAACAACTTCTCTACTTAATTTGATAAAGATTATTTATCTAGATTTCATGAGCCAGAATAGACTTCATTAAACAAGGAAAAATTGCAATATTTAAAATAACACTGTATTGTAGTTACAAACAAAGATCAATGTTCTGGTGTGGGTGTTGTTTGTTGTTGTTGTTGTTTTCTCTTTTGAATCTGTGACGTCATTACAAATACAATTTCATACATTTGATAGAAACAACATGCTTCTGTGATCTGTCCTTAATTGCACAAGCATATGCAAAGAGTACATTCCTCATGAAAGTAATACTATAAAGAAGAAAAACATCAACCTACTGGGCCTTACGTACGGCAATTTGGAGACTTTCCAGATAAGAAGACACTGGGTGCATGTCTTGCATAATAAATAGCGAAACCAATACTTTTTATTACCTAGATAGTCCTTACTTCATGTGTGTAACTGTTTCTGTGTTAAAACTTTAAAATGTGTCGTAAAAATCCGGTCATTTGATAGTGAAATGTAAATGTCAATTGCTATGAGAAACAGCGGTTATTTGGTATTAAATTGCTAAAAGCCAATTCTGCAAGAAACATCGACATTTGACATAAAATGTAAATGTCAATTGCTATGAGAAACAACGGTTATTTGGTATTAAAGTCTTTAAAGCCAATTCTGCAAGAAACATCGACCATTTGACATTAAAATGTAAATGTCAATTGCTATGAGAAACAACGGTTATTTGGTATTAAAATGTAAAAGCCAATTCTGCAAGAAAGTTGAAGAAACACCGACCATTTGACATAATAGTGTGGACGTAAATTGCTGGAACATTTACCTTTCATTTGA